TCCCCCATGACTTTGTTTCGTCTGGGAAGGTTACAAAGGGTTATTTTACATGATCCCAGGACAGTGCAACTGTCATAAAAACATGCCAGTTGTCAAGCTCCTGAATTTTAATCAGATGATCCTGCTGCATTGATCATAAGTGTGAAAAATGGTCATAAGTCACTTTATTCAGTGTTGTTGTAATTTCAAACAGTCACTAAATGAATGGCTGTAGGTTAAGGGCTGCTAGTACCAACTAAGGACATAATCTGCTAGAGACATAGGTCAAATAGCCACATGGTTTTCTGTTTTGTTTTGTTAAACGAATAGATTTAGATAATATGAGTGCTTATCACTGTTTCATAAATTGCTTTCACTGAAATTATCCTTTACATATTTGAGATAAAGAAGTTACTGTTTTATTATGCATATTTATTATTATTAAGATTGAGCATGGAAAGCATATGGCACAGGTTTCAATTGTGTTTTAGATCCAAAGGAGAAAAAATGTTGCATTCATCCCATTTTTATTAAAGAACTTGTTTGCTATGCAATTAGCAGACTGTAAGGAATTTGTGATATAGAATTAATGGGTTTATTTGAAATTAATTCTGGATATTAGTTTTTAAGAATCTGATATAATTACTTGGCTTGGAAAATGTGGATTTACAGTACATGCATTCTTTGTGAGGTGCAATCCTTGTGGGGTCAAATGGGGTCAAAAAATTACCTAATCAATCCTTGACTGTCTCTAGGGAAACTAAAGACAGATGTTTAATTCATCTGAAATTATTTGCAGTCTCTTGAAGTCTCTTCTAAAAATGGTATTTTCTGAGTAAGCATAGTTTATTTTGGGGCCATATGCAAACACAATCACAGTATGACTTTTTCTTTTTTTTAAAGACTGAACTCTGTGTGATATTTCATCTGTATCTTGCACAGCACATAGTACCCAAAAAATATTCCCAAAATCCACACAAAGCTAACAAATTGTGATCTTGCTGATAAAGCTTTAAATGGATTGCTTTGATTATTGAGATGTTCTAATAATGATTAATGTTGTGATAAATTGGAATCAAAGCTACCAAAAACATGAATGTGCAGATTTTCTTTAAAAGAATAAATTATAGCCAAAGGGAATAATATAAAACATGTCATAAGACATATTTGTCTTTCTATTACAAGATATTGTTTAGAATTACAATCTACTCCTAGTCTAATATATTTAGTACTTCAGTTGCTTCATTTTTTACTTTAATCTTTACTTTTTTCATTTTTTTTATTTTAAAGTGAATCATATCTGCTCTCTAATGTAAGAACTTCTATTATTATTTTGGGAAGATTACTAAATGTGACTTACATTATGCTTCAGAGAACATATTTACACAATTTCCTGTAAATGTGTTAAACACAAACTCATTTTAACTTCCATTTTTTAAAAAAAATTTGATTTATATGCCTCCCTTCTCCGGAGACTCAGGGCGGCTTACAATGTGCTAAGCAATAGCCTTCATCCTTTTTGCATATTTTTATACAAAGTCAGCTTATTGCCCCCACAACTGGGTCCTCAATTTACCTACCTTAGAAAGGATGGAAGGCTGAGTCAACCTTGAGCCTGGCGAGATTCGAACCTGCAGTAATTGCAGGCAGCTGGTCTTAATAATAGGGTGCTTTAGATCACTGTACTACCAAGGCTCCTTATATACAGTACATAAGCTAGTAGGTTTGCTGCAGTTTTCAGTGTATGTTAATTTATTCAGAAAGCTCAGATTGCCCAAGGATCTGCTAATACAGTTCTGTAGAGGAATTACTGAGTCTGTCATTTGTACCTCAATAACTGTCTGGTTTGACCAGCAACCAAACAGGTACAGACTTCAATGGATAGTTAGGACTGCAGAAAAAAAAATGCAATAAGCTTACCTTCCACTGAGGATCTATATACTACAGGAACTAGAAAGAGGGCTGAGAAAATATCTATAGATTGCTCACATCCTGGACATAAACTGTTTCAACTTCTCCCCCCAGGACGCCCCTTTAGGGCATTGCATGCCAAAACAACTAGACACAAAGGTAGTTTTTCCACCGTGCCATCACTCTGCTGAACACTTAATTGCCACAGCACTGTCTTGGGCCTAAAGATATCTTTTTCATATTCTCATCATTCTCATATTCTCATTTCTCATTTTTTCTCATTTTGTCATCTTTCCTACTACCTTCTCCTATTGGTATTTTATGATTATCACTTGCTGTTTGGATCTTATGATTAATGATTGTAACTGTGCTTTATGATCTATGACTTATCACTTTTGTTGTTTGTATGTACACTGAGAGCTTATGCACCAGAGACAAATTTCTTGTGTGTCCAATCACACTTGGCCAATAAAGAATAAAGCATTCAATTGTGAAGGTAAAGATTGTAAGCCTGGAGTTGGTAGTAAAGATTAACTAAAAGAAAATGAGGCTGATCTTGTCTAAATATTACCATTTCTTGTATTAGCTCAAATTGATATTTCTTAGATATTCTGGTTTATAATTTATTATATTTCTCTCTCTCTCTCTCTCTCTCTCTCTCTCTCTCTCCCTCCCTCCCTCCCTCCCTCCCTCCCCTGCTATTTATTATATTTATGTCCTAGCTTTTCCCCTCAGGTATTTGGATCCAAATGAGTGGAGACCCAAATTTGGTTCTTTAATTATTGCAGTTGACTGTCATTTTATATATTGTGTACTTTCTTTAATGTTATATAGTATTTTTTTTGTTGGCATTTGCTGCACAAAGTCACATTGTTTGAGTAAAGCAGTCCTTTAAATGGATCAAATAAATAAGTGTTGTCTTTTATTCAGCAGCACGAAGGGGAGTACATAGAGATCTCTCTTCCTGTATTTTGCCATAAGAATGACCTTTTGTCAAAGGTTGGGCTACATGAGAGTGATTGGTTAAAAATCATTCAATAAATTTATGTGGTGAAGAATATGCTAGATGGATCTCTCTACTCCCAATTTTAGTGGAAGTGGATCCTATTAACTTCTATAATTCTGAACAAATATATGATATTCAGAATCCTTATAAATTCAGTCATACAACTAATTGTTGACTGATTAGAGATAAACAAAGATAGTTTTATTCCTGCTTGTAACAATTATCAAGAGGGATTAGAAGCCCACAAACACAAAAAATAACACTGGTTAATTATCCAGAATAATTTAAAATAATTCTGCACTACAGCAGCTATATCTCTAATGACAACAAGATATTACTGAAGTATACAATTCTTCTGATTAATTGGTTTGAATTAATAGTATAATGAAATAGCATTGTTATAAGAGTGATTTTAAATGAATCATTCTTTAAATTTTTATTGACCTTTAAATCCATGTTTTAGAGAAAAGCTGAATTTCAACCAGTTTTTATTAATGCTGGATGCTGCCATGCTTTTAATCACTGGTAACTATAAAATCTTGTTGTTCATATAAAAACATTGGACATTAGAAAACATACTTTTCTTCTCTATCTTTCTTTTTAATTTTTTTAATTTGCTATTAAAACCATTGCCAGAATCCATCTAACACAAGAACTGCCCTCATCACCAGATGGAGATAAGAGTACTTGGAGCTATTACGAAGGCTGGAAATAATTTGTACCTTATAGTTTTTCACTGCCCAAAGGCAATGCAATATTCAAGTGACAAAAAACAAACAATAAAACAGAAATATTTTTCTTCATTAACAAACCAGATGGCTTCTTATGCATGAGTTAGGCACTCACAGCAACCATTTAACAACCTTTTCCTAGTTTGATTGCAAGATATGTTGTGATGGATTAAAACTCGGAATGAGAATTTCAGCAACTATTGCACATACTACATTGTTCATTATAACAGGCATGCAGATCAATTCTCTCTCTTTCACACACACACTCTCACTAAAATTCTCTTTCCTGCAACTTTAACTGAGTGAAACAGTCCATCAAAGAGCAACGATTTTCGAACCAAAGTACCACACATCTTACAAAATGTGTCCAAAAACTGGGACCCACAAATCCTGGGGAATTGAAATTTTGCACATTTTATAAAATATTTTATGACATAAAATTAGCATAAAACAGTTTGTGATGTAAAACAAAATGTCATAAAATAGTTCCTCTGCTAATATTTGACTGTGTTATATAGTTCACCATGGGCCATTTTCAAGGCAATATATTAGAAAGCAGTATATTCTACCATTGTTGAAGGCAATGAGGAATCTGGTAAGGAATATCTCTGAAAGGATGACTCAACAGAAAGGCTAACTAAATATATTATTAACTGGATGATAATATTTACAAAAAGCTGTTGTTACAATGATTATTGGAAAGGTAGAATATTTTACATTTCTAAGTATCACTGTCACACATCTGTTCTCCAGTTCTAAACTATTATGTACAAGATTATTATATACACAGTTTATTTTATTACATAATCATTTAAATATTCTAGATTCCACAGTGAGATCACATTTTAGGAACTTACTTGTGTGGTACTTTATCCATATTTCAGATATATATTTCAAATTATCTTTTCATACCAAATCTGACCAGCTTTTAAAAAACTATATAGAGTTTTGACTTTTTAAAAAATTGTTAAAGATTTGTTGAATATTTTCTGATCAGTTGCACTACAACAATCCTACTAGGAAACTACTGTTTCTATCTTTTAAAAAAAGTGGGAGGACACTAGTTATGACATTGCATATTGAAACAGTATCCATATAAACAATAGGCAAATGCATTTCTTACTTTGTGAAGAGCATTAACATGGATTAAACACCTTTCTTTAGGGCAGGGGTTTCCAAACTTGGCCACTTTAAGACTTGTGGACTTCAACTCCCAGTATTCTCAACCAGCATAACTGGCTGAGGAATTCTGGGAGTTGAAGTCCACAAGTCTTAAAGTGGCCAGGTTTGGAGGCCCCTGCTTTAAAGCATCAAAGCTGTCAGATTTCACCTCAACACACCTAAATTCATATCTCTCAACTGTTTCAGAATTGACTTATTTGGCTCTAAGGCATGCATTGGCTAAACTAGCTAAACATGTTACCAGAGACAAAGAAGCCCATTAGACAAAGATTGGCATGCTACAGAGTACAAAAATCAGATTATGTATGGACTCTTCCCCAAAAAGGCTGCTGAAGGTAAGGAGCTTTTTTCTTTCTTGCCAACAATCGGCTGTTTTTGCTGCCAAAGCTGATTTTCTGGCAGTGCTGTTCCCTGGATTTGTATGGGAGTACCTAGGAATGACCCAAGATGGCTTTTGGACTGCCATGGACCCACCTGGGAAAGGGAGTCTTGAAGATCCTAAGTCCTTCTGGGAGTGGTTGGAAACTCATTGGGCAAATCGATCTTCCTGTCAGCAGTTTTGTTTTCTAAGCAAGACTGGGTTTTAAGTTTAACTTTTTGAATTTGTTGTTTTCCTTTGCTTTTTGTCTTTAAAAGTTGACCAGCTGTTTGAATGCAGATTTATTTCAACCTTCTGCTGCACTCTAGCTATTTTGTTCTTTTTCTTTCCCTTCAATTTCTGTTGTTGTTTTGAATAATCTTCATTTTCTCCATAAGAAAACATGGTGTGTTTCTGAATGGTTGCAGTCCTTCAATTTGATTTAGATTATTATTGAATTCTCACTATAGGATTTTTGTAATTATTTTGTATATGAAAAATATTTGGAATTTATTTCTTTTGAATTTTTCTTTTAATCTTGGATTGGAATATCCAGAAAATAATATTTTCTGTTTCCTTCTGCTTCAGTGTTCTTTGTTCCCTGATCAAATTTCAGAGTAGCAATCTATCAGATTACAGACAAGCAATTGTGGCTGAAATCTAAGAAAATACTTTTTGGTAGCATGCAACTTTTAGCTGAAAGGTTTTTTTTAAAAAACTGATGAGATAATAATGGCCGTAGAAAATATTCAGAGGCACATAGTTTTGGAAAAGTTAGATTCACAAAAGGACTCTGATATGAAAGTTGCAGACCAAAAAGATATGGACTCCACAGCTGGAGAACTAACTGAGCCAATTTTATGCATTTCTTTGAAGTTCAAGCCTGCATTTCTTTACAATACTAGAAGCCTGACTGAATGGGGAAGTGACAAATTTTTCTTTCCCATGAGAACTGAGGGAAATTAGAGAATCAATTTATTACACCTAACTGGAAATCACTTCTATATAGCCTTTGTTCGGAAGATAGACCCACTGTGGAGACAATTATATTTAATTGAACAACAATTCATAAGATATGGCATTAAGAAAAAAACATGGACATTTGATCCAGGACGAATTACTCTTAATTTTTGGGATGATCTGGGATAGATAAAATGCTCTGGCAAATTTTTTATGAGTGGATTATAATAACAGTTTGTTAACAGAGAGTTTTGAAACCTTAACCTTGTCTTTTTTTATTATTACTGTTCTTCCTGTTAACTATTTTGTCATTAATGTACCATATAGAAGACAGGTCAATAATTTGCAAATAGATTTACCAGTTTAGCAATATTCAGCAATATCTGAAGGATTATAGGTTTCCCACTGTCCATTTAAATGTTGTTTGGCAGTACATAGAGTAGGCAGCCAACTTTCTCCCAGATTAATCTATTAATTAATCTATTAATTAAACCACTTCACAATCCCTGCTCATGCTGACTGGAATGATGAAATGTGTAGATCAGTGCATCTGACAAAGCATTGCAGCAGGCTATTCTAGATTGTAGGATCTGTTTTATGCTAGTAGATTGGACTGGAGTCCTGATGATAGAGGGAACCTTCTATGCATTCAAAACTGGAATATGACGGCATTTTTTCTTCCTGTCCTAGAAATCCCATATTTATCATATAAACTTGCAAACATCTGTTTCTCAGGACCAATCCTCCCCTTCAATACAATTCAAACCATTCAAATTTTGATTGATTTTTTTTATCCTTCCCCTTCCCATCAAGTAAACATGTCAGCAAACATTTCTCAGCAGGGATGGGATTGTTTTCATGATTTTAGGCTTAGTTCACAAAGAAATGTTATTTGTCCATTAATAATGTATAATTCATTCTAAATGGCAACAAACTCTGTTTTGCTGCTTAGAAAGTGTACTATTTCTTATTTTCAGGGAAGCACATGAGTGTAGGCAGAAGAAATGATATTTCTGCCAAGAGGACAAAGGGAAATTTATTTTGATTCATGACACAGTGCCTTATTTCTGGATCAATATAAATCTAATAATTTTTTGTTGTTGCTCTTTTGAGTCTTTTTTCAGTAAAAGTGCAATCAAATATACTTCCACTAATAATGCCCCCCTATTTCCTAAATCTAAAACAGTATCAAAACTAAGTTACAAAAAGGACTTTTCTAAAATTCCAGCAGTTATGTAACTGAGAGTTACATAAAGTAAAGCTACTGTATCTATTGACAAACAACCATGTGTCTGAATGCCACATAGAGATAAATAATGCAGCATCTCAGACATACGAATAGAAATTTGACCTGAGAAAAAGACTGGCCAAAATTAGAAGAATCATTTCGCATCAACAATAACTGTTTTAAGAACAGTCTTAAAAAAATACAGAATAAGTCTCCAACCATTTGGAAGAGAATATACCATTTTATGGACATAGAACAACACATGGATGATTTCAACCATTAAAAAAAATTCAAATAAAATGAAAACAGGAAATTCTGAAATAAATTGCATCCTTAATGCTATGAAATGAGCCCAGATATTCACCAAGCAACTGCTAGACTGATGGATTTACTACTTGATTCATGTACTTTCATCTCTTTCTAGTTTCATGCCAAACCAGGGATTTTTTTTGTATGAAATGCAGGAAGATTATGACTTACCTCTTTCTACAATAAATTCTATGTGTGCATGACAAATCCAAACATGCAAAATGTTTAATACCCCAGTTCAGAGATACTTCAGGGACAAAATCCAATTATGAGTTATATGCCACAATAAATAGGATTCAGCATTTCACAGAGCAATTTATAATTCATAAAAACAACAAAATGTACCTGTCAGATAGAACCCGGAGAGCAGATTTCTGTGCTGCCTGCTGGAAAGAAGGGCAGAGATGTTTATTTTATACAACTTTTAAAATATGAGCTCAATCAAAACATAAAAAATGTGTCACCCACATTCTTTTCACGTATCCAAATTTTATAGGATTTATAAGTAATGCTATAACCATATGGCTATTTTCCAGCTATTGTACACCATGTAATAGCAGTTTGTTAGGTTAACGCCATTGAAATATTAAAGAACTTACACAGACATTTAAATATGAAAAATCTATTTGAAGTTTTTGTTTTTTTAAATGAGAAAAAAATTTCCTCCCTTTGCACCATTGCTTCAGCAATTATTCACTCAGCAAACTGTTCAAGGATGGCAATAAGGATCCTAAGGCACAGCTGTGATTAGTTGCCAATTTTAACTTGGCAAATTTTAACAGGGCTACCTGCAGATGAGTGAATGATCCATTGATAATTACCTTATGGCTATGTAGTACCTTATTGGCTAATGAAGGAAACACATTAGCACGGAAGTCTTTTGCAGGGGGTAAGAAACTTCCCAAAAAATAACAGAAGATTCAGATTTAATCAGATGATTAACTTTCCATTTCATTGCTGATCTTTTGTGGACCTACTTTCTAGCTTCACTTGTATGTCCTCCAAAGTACGCCAGACAGGAAATATGACCTGATGAGCTAATTCTATTTATTGTAAGGCTATGTTAACAGAATCTTAAAATTCTGAAAGTACAAATTTCTTTTTACAGCGTGATCAATTATGGTGGGTCCTTCTTAAGTTTCTTTCTCTAACTGTTAAGCAACTACAGGCTCCTCCCTCTCTTGTCTGATTATTTCCTAGGCAGCATCTCTTCACCTTGTCCCTCAAGATTATTCCAACATACTGTTATATCACTTTATTACCTGCAGATATCTATAAAGTAGGAGTTCTTAAACAATGGATCTGGATTCCAGGGAGGAAAAACAATTGGGTACCAGGTGTCACAATTTCTTATTAATCAGACATGCAAATGAAGTGGGACCAATATCAAAACTCACTGTTTTGATATGTTTCTTGTTTTGTCTGATTAAGCCTGCATCCGGCATAGCATACCAGAATTTCAGAATTCCCAATGATATGCATTTGAAAATGTAATTATGAAAATAAAGGACACTAACTGTAATGAAATCATTAATTTTATTAAGGAGGTGAGGATGGGTTTCATGCAAACTTATCATTTTAGGTGGTGACATTACCATAACATTTGAAACCCCCTGCCCTAGTGGCAATTTCCTTGGCTATAATACTGAGTCTGGTTTTGACTTCATCCATTCTGGAATGTATCATTTCAATTTATAATAAAGAGTTTTTATTAAAAAGTGTACTATCAAAAAGACATTAAGTGTCAGACTCCAAAAACCAAGAAAGACATGCTGAAGTTCTTCTAAGCAGTTTCCTTTATTGTTTCTCACCTATAGACAGAACTCTTGCCAAACCAAAGCAGACTGTTTTCACCATTAAATATATATTCTGAGAACTCTTAGAAAGGAGCTGTCTTAACTCTCTTCCTTCCACACAAAGTCTCTACATTTCTCTGTCTTTTGCTCCTTTAGAATGCACTCTCTCCCTCATGGGAATCTGGATTACATTCTATCACATCATGTTACTGTACTTGACCTATTGTCAACACTTTGTAACACATTGATTGATGTAGCTGATCTTTAATATTTTTGTTATATTTTATTGTATACAAGGAACTTGGAATGGTACATAAAGATAAAGGTTTCCCTGTCAGTCATGTCTAGGGCATGGTGCTCATCTCCATTTCTTGGCCAAGGGAGCCAACATTATCCAAAGACAATTTCCATGGTCATGTGGCCAGCAGGATTATATGCCAAAGGTGCATAGTCCCATCTTATTTTATAGTGGCCTATAGACTCTTTGAGAGTTTCAGAGATGAGCATCTTCATCTAACATTCACTTTTGTAACATAAATCATATACACAATGTAAATAGCTTGAGGATATAGGGTGCAGCCAGCTTCCTCAAATTCAGGTTGGATGGCAGAAATTCAAATTCTATGATTGAAGAAATTCAAGAAACTGATATATCTGAAAGAGAAGTATACTATAAGTATACCTCCTGTTAAGCAGCATTTATTTTTTCTGAGATTTAATTTCTATTCTGTTATTTTCTATCTTTCACCTGAAATAACAGACTCTCTCTAAAATATAGATAAGATATATTTTTGAAACATTCAATTCCAAAATTAGAGGTAAGTCAGTCTATTTGTCTATGGAGATTTTCAAGTCATCCAGGTCATGGTTTCCATCTCTGACTGGATGTGGGGAATGGAAGGATTTATATACCTTGAAGACAGCTGTTCATTTGCATTCTTTTAAAGAGTCATTGAGACCATTTGGACATTTATCTGGGACCTCAGGGGTCACTGGGACTACTTAGGTGACCCTGAGGACTCAAATAAACTTCCATTCCCCACCATCCAGTCAGAGCTGAAGGTGTTTCTTGGATGAGAAGTGAAATGTCTTCAAAGAATTACTGGTGTGGCCTGTTGGCCGCCGGCTTCTCCAGCAGCCAAATCAGAGGAGGAGGAGGAGGTGGCATGGGAGTCAGGGTCAGCATCAAGGCAACCTGAGAGCTCCAAGGGTGAAGAGGGAAAGGAGCTGGCAGAGAGAGAGACACAGAGGCAGAGCCTGGGCCGTCCGTCAGCCCTCAGATAGAGAGTCAACAGCTCCCAGGTCTGGAGGTGGCTGATGAGGTGCCTGACGTGTGGATGTCCAGAAGGCAGAGGAGAGGAGAGCAGTGGAAATCTGTGGGCAGATCCTTTGGAAGGAAGAGCCACTGATGCTAGCAAAGCCCCACCCTAGCTCTGGGGATAAAAGCAGGGGGCAGAGATGAATAGAAGTGGCAGGCAACTATTTATCTTCCATCCGGATGGACTTGTTAGTCTGTAGTGAAAGAGAAACATTTTGCTGGGGGTGCTGGTGCTCCTAATAAAGGAATCTTTGAGTTAACTTCAGAGGGTTTGTTGTGTTTGGAGAGCTGGATCAGAATAATTACAAGAAATCCAGTTGCCTCCTGAAAAAGCACCTTTGGGATGGTCAGCCATTTTAGTTCCACATGCCTGCATAGATCTATTTTAGTTCCACAGACATTTATCTATTTTAAAAACACAAACATGAAATGCAAGTATGGAAGGCATTTAAATTTTAATTATAATGTTCACTTTTTATTTTAAACTGATGTGCACCTTTTTCAGAATGACAGTTGTGCTTGGCTTTTGAAGGGGAGGAAAGGAGAAGCACTCTAAAAATAGCACATGAAGTAAAAAAAAAACCTTTTATTTACAGATAGTCCTTGACTTATGACTACAATTGAGCCCAAAATTTCTATTGCTAAATGTGACATTTGTTAAGTGAATTTTGCCACATTTTATGACCTCTTTTTGCCAAAGATGTTAAGTGAATCACTGCAGTTGTTAAATTAGTGACATGGTTGTTAAATTAATCTTATTTCCCATTGATTTTTCTTGTCGCAAGGTTGCAAAAAGTGATCTCATGACTCTGGGATACTGCAACAGTCATAAATATGAGTCAGTTGCCAAGCATCTAAATTCTGAAGGATAACATTACCACTGGAAAAGTGGATCAGGTTGTTTTGCTTAAAAAGGCAATTCAAACAAAGCCTCATTCATTTAAAATGAATTTTGCTATTTGCCATGCTGTTTTACCTCTTATCTTCCTGTTATAATTTATTTTAATCCTGCTTTCTGAGAACTATTAAAAATTATATTAAGGTATAAAGTCTTTGATTTAGCTCAAATAGCATTACCTTGGAGGAAATCTTATGTTTATTTGAAAGATGATCACATATACTGTACATGATACAATGTCCATTTTATAATTGGTATCATTAATTATTCTTGACTGACACAAGAATTGATTGTCAACCTTGTTTTCTAAGCTCCTTTAAAAAGTGATCTCACTTAAGGAAAGAAAACATCCTTTCAAAAGGTGAAATAAAAGGTAAGAAATATTGTTTCAGACATGACATCACAATTGCTGATAGATAATTATATGACATCATGGTAAAATTATCTGTAAATCAATGTATACCCAAGCATTACAAGTGTTAATTATTTCTTTCACAATACTAAATAATTTGACTATAATTTGTGCAATTAATTTGTATTTCCTATCATTCTGATAGCTTCACTGAAACAAATACCATATTTTTTGGAGTATAAGACGCACTGGAATATAAGACGCACCTTAGTTTTTGGGGAGGAAAATTTTGCCTACCAGGTATTCATTTGGCTAGTCCTTAGCCTGGTCAGCTTCAGCACATTAGTTCACTCGCTGGTTTTGAGGTTGGGGCTGGTATGGGCTAAAAAACAGCTTCTAAAGCACAACTGATCATTGGTTGGAGCAGCAATTAGAAAAGCAGGCAAAGGGGAAGATTGCTTAGCTGGCGTTGGGGCTGAAAAACAGCTTCAAAAGCACAGCTGATTGTCGGAGGGAGCTCCAGTGACTAAAGCAGGCAAAGCATGGAAGAGGTAAGAGAAGACAGCAGCTGTTCTGGGTAGCCATTTTGGGCTCTGCACGTCGTGTTTTCAGCCTCCAAATGCGTCGCATTTTTTGGGCTGCGATGTGCTTTGGTGATCCCCGCAGACTTGATTGGCTCTCAAACGGAGCGTTTGGAGGCTGAAAACGCGACGTGCGGAGCCCAAAAACACAAGCCACTGTCAGTAGCAATCTCTGTAGTCAGGAAGAGGATGCACAAAGGCCGAAGGGTGGGGGCTGGTGGGGTTACATTTGGAGTATAAGATGTACTCAAATTTTCAGCCTCTTTTAGGAGGGAAAAAGTATGTTTTATACTCCGAAAAATATGGTATATTCAGTATCTGTTTTGCTTCTTTTCCTTGCTTTTCCGAGCAATGTCTCTACAGGGAGAGACGGAATTAGAAGAAGAACATTCTGTGCAGATTGGTTATCCAGTCATGGAAGAATAGGAGATCTTTCCTTGCACTGCTGTTTCTTTATTTTCTCTTTCCTACCTGCCACTTGCCTCAGGAGCCCAAACAGAATAAACTTACTAAACAAGAGCTGTTTATTACAGTATGGTACATAAAGAAATTCACAAGCTTGTGAAATTTACATGTTATCCTCTCCTCTTGTCTTTATATTGGCATCCCCTTCTCACTACATAAGTGCTTATTTGGCATAATTTATGATAAGCAGAGAATGCTCAATGTCATTACTGCAGAATATGCACTTGACCTTCTCTCAATTATGCACATTCAAATCAAGCCTCTTTGTGTTATACACACAGTGCTACAGAGCTTATATCTGCACTATTTCTTTGGGGCCATGCAATAGCCACAGAAGAAAGCTTTTAAAAGTAATGAGCATCTGCTGCAAAGGGCAGTGGCTGCTGAGATCATTAAATGTGATCATTAAACTTCGTCTTTTATTAAAATCTTGTTAACCAATTTTAGATGCGCTATAGCTAAGGCTCTGTTAATGAAAGCTGTCACAGCTAATCTGGCTTGCAATGTTGAGATTTTAAATGTTTCACCTTGGGAGTTTATCAGATAATTCGCCCTTAGGGTAGGCTAACCCACAGGTAAGGAGGTCACTTTTATGTGGCTTGCTAGATTTCTCCTCAACATCTATTCAAAGAGGGTATAATGATATTAGTTTAATACCCAGTGTTTCTGGGTATTTATAAAGCCTGGAAATGTTATGACTTAAAGTATGTTTAGAGTGTGATTTGACATTGAATTATTATGTTTTTATGTTATAAAAGCAGGGTGTCTGTGTATAATATGAACAGGATCAGAATGCTGGAATATGCAGAATAGGGTTTAAACTATTTTCTCCAACAATTGCCTCCCCCCAAATAATTGGTTTGAAGCTGCCATATTGCAATAGCCACACTCATGTATCAAAATATTGGCATCAGGAGGAAATTTTATTTGGGCACATCATATAAAGGGAAACAAACCAGCTCCTTTACCAGAGTTATATTTCTTACCAGGAGTCCAAATCTACAGCTATTATTTAAGTTAAAAACAAAGAAGTAAATTGAAGATAATTCTGTGTATTATTTAGGCTATATTCTGAATATGTATTAAGGGAAACAGGTTTGGAAGAAGATACTTTTTAAAACTGGAGGAAGAAACATCAATTGCCCGCATTAAACTTATGATGCAAGTCTGACAGTCAAAAATGCAAAAGACCTGCAAGCTGTAGTCATAAAAGTCAAGGAGTCCAGTGAAAAAATAGAACTAAAATATAAAGAGACAAAACTAATGATAACAGGTACAAGAAGCCAGTTTAGAATGGGCAGTGAAGATACTAAAGACAGAAAGATATGGATGGATAGGTGAATGACAGTTTCCTTTTACTGATTCTAAATACCTCTTGATCAGAGTGAAGCAACTTGAACTTCTCCATATGTTTTGGAACTTTCAACCTGTCTCTCACATTGGAAAAAAACATGGATGACACAGGAATGGTCCAGATGTTCTGAAGGAAGATAACTTACCATTTACTGTATCTAAATACATTCTACTTTTACCCCAGCAATTTAATGTTATGTTTGTCCCCATCATTTTTTCCTACTTCTACCTACAGTACTTTCTTCTTGCTTGACTGTCTGATTTCCATGTACTTTTCTATCATTGGTGTCTTCACATTGTCTTTTATGAGAACAACAGTTTATTGAAACTGTTGCTATTATCAGTTTTATGCCACATGAAATTATGCAGGAAAAGTGGTTTGTTTTATCTTGTAAATGACAGTGCAACATTAATTGCACTTGGGAATTGCATCTTTGGTAACAGCTGTGATTTACCATCTCTACTTCTTTTTAGATCTTGATATCGGTAAATGGGATAACATTTCATTTATAATGCATGCCTGATTAGTTATAGACATATATAGAGCTCTATCAGATGGCTGCCTAGTTCCTATCACAGTTACTAACCTGCTGTTTTCTGTGTATAGATGATTTGTCCTACATTTTTTTTAATGGTGAGATGAAAACAGATGAATATGTCAGGCATGAAAGACTAGGTCCACATAGGGAGGTTCAATTTCATTGATTTATTGCTAAAAGCCTATGCACAAGAATCTTCTCACAGGTCAGCAAGTGGTTAATGTTAGATAAGGGTCAATGGCAGTCAAGTTCATTTGTGACTAGGTAATGATTCTAGGCTGATTATTCTTTTCATCACCACCACCCTTGGCTCTGCCAATTCTCTTACAGAATGCATAGAAAGCAAAGATTTAATTTAATTTTTTTTTTAAAAAAAATCCTCCAACTTATTTCTTTCCAAACACTGGCCTGTAATTCCTACCATCAACAAGTCAATATGCTGGTTGAGAAATTATGGAAGCTATATTTCATAGGCCAGAGGTATCAAACTGGCAGCCCACAGGCCAGATGCATATACATGTAAATCATGCCCATTCCAGCTCCGTGAAGGGAAAAAACGTCATGATATGTCGCGTGACAACAATGTGATAAGGCGAATTTGATACCCATGTCATAGGCATTTCAAACAAGCCACAATCATGTCAAAATAATTGCCTCTGCATCATGACTTGATAGCACAAATGACATCTAATGCAAGTACATAACTTGCATCATTTATAGTACATACTGTTTTCTTTAAATAATTTTTTTTTAAAAGACAGACAAACATTTAATATATCAATCCTCCCTTCCCCGTGATGCCTCAGTGTTATCTTCTAGGCTTCTTTTCCATCTTCCATAAGTTTCTTCTATCTTCATATTCATCCAAACCATTCTAACATTTCATTTCTAAATCAATATTATAATCATCATTTGTACACAATTATAGTATCAATCATTTATATCTCCTTTCCAACCAACTATAAAAATAATTCCATGTTTTAAAATATTCTGATTCCTCCGTATCTTTAATCATCAAAGTTAATCTATTCATTTCTGCACAGTCTAAATTTTTTTTTATTACTTCTTCTTCCAAAGGTATTTTCTCTGATTTCCAATTTTGAGCATACACAATTCTTGCAGCTGTTATTACATGTATTATCAAATATACATTTTCCTTACTATTTTTTTCTGGAAAGATACCCAGTAGAAACAACTCTGGTTTAAATTCAATACGTTGTTGTATCATTTTTTCCAGCCAGATTTTAATCTTGTACCAATAATTGTTTGCTTCGGGACAAGTCCACCACATATGGTAATAATAATGTCAAAATAATGGCCTCTGCATGACTTGATAATACAAATGACATCTAACGCAAGTACATAACTTGCATCATTTATAGTACATACTGTTGTGATGATGCACATGCTCTTATTTGTTTCTTCTGCCCTTTCCCCCAATAATTGCTCATATATATTCTAATATACTACATTGTCTTTTAAGATTTTGAATAGTTCAGCTGGAATACTGTCACTTCCACTAGCTTTGTTGTTGCTCAGACTTCCAAAGGCCCATTTGACTTCACACTCCAGGATGTCTGGCTCAAGGTCAGTGACTACCCCATCGTGGTTATCAGGGACATTAAGCTCTTCTGTGTAATTTTGCCACCTCTTCTTAATCTCTTCTGCCTCTGTTAGGTCCCTGCCATTTTGGTCCTTTATCATTCTCATCTTTGCATGAAACATTCCCTTCATATCTCCAATTTTCTTCAAGAGATCTCTGGTCCTCCCTATTCTATTGTTTTCTTCTATTTCTTTGCACTCTTCATTTAAGAAGGCATTCTTATCTCTTCTAGCTATTCTCTGGAATTCTGCATTCAATTGGGTGTAGCTTTCTCTTTCTCCCTTGCTTTTTACTTCCCTTCTTTCCTCAGCTATTTGTAAAGCTTCCTCAGACAACCATTTTGCTTTCTTGCATTTCTTCTTCTTTTTAATTGCTACCTCTTATACAATGTTGTGAACCTCCGTCCATAGTTCTTCAGGCACTCTGTCTATCAGATCTAATTCCTTAAATCTATTTGTCACCTCCAGTGTATGTGGGATATGATTTAGTTCATACCTGAGTGGCCTAGTGCGTTTTCCTACTTTCTTCAATTTAAGCCTAAATTTTGCAACAAGAAGCTCATGATCTAAGCCCCAGTCAAGATGTTGGGGGATGTCTATGTTCAGTCTTGTCATCTCTTGTTTAACCATGTCCAGCTTGCCTTGATTCATGCATCTTACATTCCAGGTTCTTATGGAGTATAGGTCTTTATAGCATCGAACTTTACTTTCACTACCAGACATATCCACAGCTGAGTGTCCTTTCGGCTTTGACCCAGTCACTTCACTCTTTCTGGCGCTACTAGTACTAGCCCTCTGCTCTTCCCCAGTCGCATATTGGACACCTTCTGACCTGAGGGGCTCATCTTCCAGTGTCATATCTTTTTGCCTTTTGGTACTGTCCATGGGGTTTTCATGGCAAAGATATTGGAGTGGGTTGCCATTTCCTTTTCCAGTGGACCACATTTTGTCAGAACTCTCTGTTATGACCTGTCCGTCTTGGGTGGCCCTGCACGGCATAGCTCATAGCTTCATTGAGCTACGCAAGCTCCTTCACAATGACAAGACAGTAATCCATGAAGGAGTGCAAACTTGTATGGTGGTATAATTAGAGGTTAAAAAATTGAACTAATTTCAAATTTCTTACCTGGTCACTCTCTTCTTCATCACTGCTCAACTTTAGGTCATCTTCTAGCATTCTAGAAAATAACAAATCCTCATTGTAATTCATTATAATTCTTTAGATGTCATTTAAACCATAGATATCTTTTCATTGTGAGTTTTAACTAAGCTTCAATTGGTTCAGGGCAAAACTTCAGCTGGTCCAAGACCCTATTTCCCATTAAGGCTGTGCATGTTTTATTTGGAAGAAGTGCTTTGGATTTCATGAGAGCACAGCACCCATATTTTACTCATTAAAGTAGCATGACTGCAAATTTGGAAAAAGATGTAATTGTTTTAAGCAATTTACAAATGCAACTTATAAGTAACATTTTTAAAATTTTTCATAGCAGCACATTGAAGCCTGTCAATGTTGAATTAATTTAGCTAAGAGCATGAAGGCCATTTTTTTTCTATCCTGATTTTACCATCTAATATTCAATGGTTTGCTCTAAATCTGAAATTTCCTTATAGGCTTCATTACTCAAAATGGCTCTGAGAGGTGATAGTCTTGGCCAAAACCCAGTATCATGATGCAATTCTGCCACTGCAGGTAACTTACATTGTTTGCAAGCAATTAAGTGATAATTAATATCAATATCAATGGAATCTGAATTATTAACAGTAGTACATGACATTGTGAATTCTGCCTCTTAAAGAATATTAATTTCACTTAGACCAGCATGAACTAGATCTGAAATGCATGCTGGAAAAGTTCTTAATATGAACATAATAATTTACCTTTTAGTGAATATACTTATATGTCTTACATTATTTCATGCATGCTTCAAAATCTATTCTACAAAAAAAATATAGTTTTATTCTGTTTACACAATGAGATGCAGTCTCTTGTGAATATATATTATCCTGGATCTACAGAAAAAAAAAGGTAAATAAAAAATCTCTACGTGAGACCCCAAACTTGTTCATGATATTTAATCTTTTTTTGCATGTTATTTCAATTTTCACTTAAATCAGCTACCATCAATACATATTCATAGGGAAATTTCCAGAGTTTTAATGTTGAAGTAATCATCTAATGGAAGCTCCAGAAAAAGAAAACCCTATACGCATCAAGATTGATCTTTTGAGACCATTAAAACCAAATTGCATTTTTTATCATATTAAGAGAATATATCTAAACTGTAAAACATAAATACTTCATGAATAATGGGTAGACACATGTTTCAGTCTGTGTTAATGAAGTTAAATTTATTGCTATTTTTCTTTCCCCATCATGTAACAGATGGTCAACTTTGCTTAATGAATATATATATTCAAAGCATGCATTTCATTTAGAAAAATCTGTCAACACTATATCAACAGAACTGTTATTTTAAACTCGGTTATGATATCTCTATCACCAAAACAGTTTTATAGAATAGAAAGCTGATGTGCTGAAATCACATTGCTTATTTTTATAAATTTTAAAAAATTAAGATTGCAAAAATTAAATAAGAAATCAAAAAACTAAGAAATGATCACTAAACAGGTATTGTTTCAGCAAAATAATATTAGGAAAGAAGAACCTACAACATTTTTAAAAATATACAGGAATGCTATATTCAGCAATTCAACAATAAGCCTTTTGTATTCTATCACATACCAGTCAATCCATCCCATTTCTCATACACATGAATTATTCTATATAGTCTTTTCAATGTGAGATGATTTACAATTATATGCCGTAAAATCACTTAGGGACCACACATATTTTCCCCATTACAATCTTTCCCTAACCTACCGGTAATTCTTCAGATCTTTCAATAGTTCATCCATTAACTACAACTACAACTGAATCCATCCATCTTACTCCTGATTGTCCTCTTCTGATTACCTTCCATTGTTCTCAACATAAGAGACTTTTCCAGAGAGCAAGGCTCTCACATAATATGTGCTGGATAATATGTCCATATATAATAATATGAACCAAGTCAGTTTTGCCTTGAGTTAGAACTCTGTACAGACATATCCCACAAGGTCTTTGTGGCTGCTCCACCAAGTGCTCGTCTGCTGAGTATTTCTTGATTGCTGATTCCTTTATTGTTGATGGTTGATCCCTGAAAGCAGAAGTTATTTACCACCTCAATATCTTCACTATCAATTCTAAGCGTGGCTGTTGTTCCTGCTGTCATTAGGTTGATCTCTTTATATTTAATTTTAGACCCATTTTTCCCCAGTATTCCCTGATTTATTACTAATCTTTGCAGATCTTTTGCGTACAGTCATGTCAGCATCTCAGTACAGGGTACTAAAGTTTCTTCCTACAATTTTAAAGCTATTCTCATCTTCTTCCAATTCAAAGAGTTAAAAATACAAAGACTAAAAAAGCAACACAGAAATTACAATAGGTATTGCCACAAAAGAACTGTTTTCATTCACCAGAAACTTATTTTTGACATCAATGTAAATATTCTCTCCAGATTCATGCAAAACCTGTAATCACTTACCATTAGAGGAAACAGCCTTAAGCAATAAAGAGTTTTGTAGAATTATTTAATTCACCAGTTCTTATTTTACCCCCTTTAATTCCATTAATATAATTTCTTTAATTTCACATGATTATTAGAATAGAATAACAGAGTTGGAAGGTACCTTGGAGGTCTTCTAGTCCAACCCCCTGCTTAGGCAGGAAATCCTACACTTCAGACAAATGGTCTTCTTTAAAAAGAGATTCTGATCATTTAAAATTATTAAATGAAAAACACTGGTAACTGATAACACTGATAACATATTGTTATCAGAATAGCTATGGGATCAGGTCTGGTAGTTGGATTAGAGAGTTTTTGATTTCTGAATCTGTGCCACTATAGTGTGTCCTGTTGCTGTTGGACAGTAACTGTTTAAAGTTGGTAGCTGACTGTATGCAATTGCAAGTCTAGCATTGAAAGGCCTATAAAAGAGAAATGCCATTTATTATTCAATTTAGACTATAGATTACTGTGACATGCTTTAATGCTTTTAATTTTGAGCTGTAGGTGACAACAAGAATGTTATGTATTTTTTTTTCCTTTTGTGTCATATTGGATGATTTCAGGGAAGTAGAATAAGTGTGCTAACCTGCTTTTTAATTTAACTAGATGGATATACCAATTAAGGTGGTACTGATCTGGTCTAAACTCATGATGATGACAGAGGAGGAAAAGTTAAGATTCTAATGGACTTGCTTGTTACTCATGAATCCAGCATTCTGTCAAAGAACAGATTTGGAGATCAAAATTTCTTATCATCCTACAGCTCTTGCCTCAGTTTATGAAAGAAGAAACGTTTGCATCACACCTAACTATTGGTCACTATCTATAAATGATTAATGTTTCCTCTTCTTCCAATAACACATTGCTTTCCCCCTCTGTATTTATATGTATGTACTATATATGTGCGTGCACACATACACATATGAACACAAATAGTGAGCTTGATGGCCTAGGTACACTCACAATTTTGACCTTGTCTTCATGTGAAACAGAGTTACTCTGAAAAATGCTATAGTCAAAACTTCAAAGTGTTATTACAGAGTCGTCAATTTTTATTACTCTGGTGATAATTATCCATGCTATTAAATATCAATAATGTAGATTAGGGATGAGGAACTCTTTTGGGCTGGGGAATGCATTTTAATTAAGTTTTGTTTTGGAAAACCCCTGAGGGATATATATAGGAGTTACTGTATTTTTCGGAGTATAAGACGCACTCCACCTCCCTTAAAACTGGGTAAAAATTTCAGTGCATCTTATAGACCAAATACAGGCCTGTTTTTGGCCTTCCGAACTGTCCGTGTGTCACATTTTCACCCTCCATGGCCCCCAGAAGCGCTCTGCATGTCCCATTTTCACCAAAAATGGGCCCGTTTTTGCCAAAAACAGACCTGTTTTGGGGCTCCTGAACCCTCCGCAAATAGTGTTTTCACCCTCCCTAGCCCCCAGAAGCACTCTGCAGTGCTCTGCACATCCCGTTTTTGCCAAATCAGGCCCGTTTTTGGGCTCCTGAACCCTCCGCGCATCGTGTTTTCACCCTCCTCAGCCCCCAGAAGCACTCTGCAGTGTTCTGTATGTCCTGTTTTCACCCAAAACAGGCCAATTTTTGCCAAAAATGGGGCCATTTTTGGGCTCCTGAACCCTCCGCACATCACGTTTTCACCTTCCCTGGTTCCCAAAAGCACTCTGTAGGCCAAAAACAGGCCCGTTTTTGGTGAAAATGGGACATGTGGAGCACTACAAAGTGCTTCTGGAGGCCAGGGAGGATGAAAACGTGATGCGTGGAGGACAAAAACTATTTTTTGTTGTTGTTTTCCTCCTGTAAATATAGGTGTGTCTTATAGTCCAGTGAGTCTTATAGTAGAAAAATATGGTAGTCTTTGCTATTGCTACATTTTCAGACTGTTTTGGAGATTTAGTTGGGAGCTGGCGTGTTCCCTCCCAAAAAGGGGAGCTGGGCTGCCATGCAGATTGCCAACATCAAGTATTTATTGTCTTATTTAATTATTTAAAAGGCTTCTTGTAAGTTTCTACAGAAGAGTTCCCATGAGATGGAAATAAACTCAACCCAAAACTTTTGGAAGTCCTCAACTACTTTTAACTACAACCTTATATTTAATTTCCTGGTAGTAAGCCCTTTTTCTGAATAAACATCCAAAGGATGCACTGTTGGACTTCTTTAAGTAAACTTGCTGGTAAATTCTCTACCACAGGATCTTTTCCATCCAACTCTTGAGATACTTTTGTAGCAGAAAAAACTAGAGATAGAAAACACATCCAAATACTGGAAAGCATCTTTGGTTTTCTTTTGCTAACAACTTCTTTGAAAATGAAATGTTTCTAATCTTTTAACCATGGCTAAAAGGCTACCAGTATACAATTGTTTATCTTTCCTTATCATAATGCAGAATTTATTTTCCCCATTCACATTTGAACAGGGCCTTTAATCAATTTCAAACTGTGTTGCAAATCCTGATTAAAATTTTAATCAAGTACACAAGTTTAATTTAATTTTATTAGACCATTCATTTATATGTGAGTTGGTCTTAGTGTCTGGTGACATATTTATATTGTTTTCTTTGCAAAAATGTGGAAGTGGATTGCTATTTTATTCTTTCTAGAGTTTCTTTTAACCTCCCAGGCTGTCTAAAGTTTTGGCATTTGCTGATGATTTGCCATATTTTAAACCTGATCCAATACTGCTTGGCTTTTTCCAAAACAGCTACTTGGCTAGGTGCTACCATTTGCTCAGTTCACTTAGGTACTGAATGCTAAAAAAAAAAAAACGTAATTGGACTTTTCCCATTATCAACCCTGAGGTCATTATGAACAAACTATTTAAGCCTCTTGCTTTTTTCTATAAACAAAAATTAATTACCTCATTTCAGAACTAATTTTATAGTTATTATGTAGAGACTGTAATGAACAAACTAATTAAATGACATTTAAGCAAGAAATAGATTCTGCAAAATACTCACATATATTGGTTGACTGTTCTACCGTAACATAATTGCCTATATAGAAAGGAGAAACTAAGATAGCAGTCTCTATGCTCATATTTGCATAAGTATATTTCCCCTCTTCTATAAATAGTTTCTTTGGAAAAGTGAGGTTCATTATAAATGTTATTAGCCGAAAAAAATATGATCAAAGAAATAGCCAGTTTGCAAGTTTATTTGATTACATGTAAAAAAGTACAACATATTAACAGGAACAGTATTAACATTATCTATAGTTTGGGTGTAAATTAAAAAGGCAACAAAAAGTAAAGGAGGAAATAGCTAGCTCTTTTCAACTCTAGATATGTAATTCCTAATACAGTAACAGAAAGAAGACTAAGGCAGAATGAGAGATGAACAGTCATGGATAAATTATTATTATTATTTTTTTAAAATTTGATTTATATGCCACCCTTCTCCAGAGACTCAGGGCGGTTTACAATGCATTAAGCAATAGCCTTCATACTTTTGTATATTTATACAAAGTCAGCTTATTGCCCCCACAAACTGGGTCCTCAATTTACCCACCTTAGAAAGGATGGAAGGCTGAGTCGACCTTGAGCCTGGGAAGAATTGAACTTGCAGAAATTGCAGGCATAAAAAAAGGAGAATAGCATCTGAAGCATATTAATCAGAGTAATTGGTTGATTATGTGCCATCAAGTTGCTGTAAACTCTTAACAAACAGATTTTTTTCCATGACAATTTGTCTCTAATCTGGTTTTCCAACAGTATATCCATTGCCACTGAAACTCATCCATCTGGCCACTGGTTGTCCTTCTCTTATCTTCTCACTCATTTCATCTTTCCCAGCATTAGAGCCTTTGCCAGAGAACTGTGTCTTCACATTATGTGTCCCAAGTACGATAATTTGAGCCTGGTCATTTGTGCCTCAGGTGAAAATTCTGGTTGATTTGTTTGATGATTCATTTGTGTGCTTTCTTGGCTGTCCATAATATTCTCAGTCCTCCAACATCATCAATATTCTTTCTACTCTACTTCTTCAAAGTTCCATTCTCACTTCCTCAAAGCATCATAGAGAATACTGAACTATTCTGGTACCTGACATCTTTTCCAAGCCCTTCTAGCTTCTCTACCAAGTGCTAGTTTGCAGCATATTTCTTGGATCTTGATAGTTGATACTAAAAAGCATTAGTATTCACTATTTCAGTATCTTCCTTATCAGTTCCAAGGCTCCTTATTGTACCAACCTTAGTTTGGTCTTCTTTGTATTTTATTTTAGTCCTGGTTTTTTTTCACTGTATTCCTTGGCTTTATTATCCTTATAAAGCATGAAGATCCTTTGCATTTTTGGCTACTAGGGTAACATCATTAGCATAACGTCATCTTCCAATTGAGCTTCCTTTAATATATTTTAATTATATATTTTAAATAATTGTTTTTTTTAAAGAAAGTTAACATAATTTAAGCACATGATTAGTAATGGGTTGTGTGAGTAAAGGAGTTTTAATTACCTTAAGGCTTAACACCATCCTAAAGATGCTGATGTGTATTCTGATTATTCTATCTCTGTTCAATGACTGGTAAATGTCAATAAATGTTATACATACAAACAAAAGCTTTTGGGAGTACTACATAATGTTTAAAATTGGAAAGTGCTACTGGAGAAAAGAGGAAAATTTTAGGCGTATCAGAGTTTAATATGTGTAACAAGAGCAATAGAAGGAAGGCAAGCATTCCTTGTCTTTAGTTTGAACACAGTAATTATAGCTCTTTTCAAAAGCCCCCTTCTTGGTTGATATATCCTCAACTTTGCAAGGTTTTTATTGTTGTTTTAAACCACATTTATGTCATATTTACAGTGAGGTTAGCTAATACCCTAAGCATTAGATAGTACTTGTGCTTAAAGATACGACAATTTTTATATACCAATGTTAACAATTAATAAATCATACATCTTTAAGGTGGAGTTACAAATAGATATACTTCTGAAATTTAACCCTCTAACTAGGTAAGAATTTTGTTCCTTCATTTTTCATTAAAAATATTTTTGTCAATAGTTACATTAACACATCTATCTATTCTTGTTTTTGATTGTATTATAGCACAATGAAATGACAATTTCTTTGAGCAATCCCATCTGAGACTGTTTTCGGTTCTATTCTGAAGATCTATCTGATGACCGTATGACTATATAGCAATGTTATTATTAATCAAGCTGACTAATGAAGAATTAATGTGCTAAAACATTTCAAATGACAAGGTAGCAATTAAAATGTAACAAATATAAAAGGAGTACTTCATTTAAGACAAATCTTTTTCTGTGTGAAATCTATAAAAGCCTGATCCTATGCATGTCTATTCAAAAAATTAATGGGGAAAGTCATTTGGGAATCTAGGGTTCCCTTACTGTGGATAAGATAGGGAATAAATAAAACCAACAATAAAAAGTATCTATTACAATATTTTGTTAATACACCATTGCCTGACTGCATTTTAAACTGGTTAGCATAAAAATAAAAGATGTTTAGTTTGCAGTTCCATTATATATAGGTCTTGAAATATATTACATTATCAATCCTTCAATTCTCTTCAATGTATGTCAGACCTGATATTTATTGCATAATTGATTTAATCTATCATGTAATTAATCTTTAACAGAAGAAACTGAGGTCTAAAATTCTGGCTATTATTTAACAAGAAAGTGCTCATAAAGTGGATTAAATCTCACAAATTAAATAGACATCAGAGCATATGAATTCTAACCTTCCTTCTATCTAGGCACTTCATAATAATAGAACACTATCTACACAGGTTATTTATAATTGCAATGAGAGATGTCAATGAGACGTCTACCATTATTAATAATAAAAGGTTTGGTTTATGCACAATTAGTTTTTAATACATCCTTTTAAACATCTCTCCAGAATAATAGCTGAATGTTTAGATATTAATCATCTAAATATTTGGCCTGTTTACTCAGAAGATTACTAAAAAAAGAAAAAAGAAAAAGGATCATAAAAGAAATGGTGAACATGATGTATTAAAATTAAGTACAATTAATTCCCAGTGATTTCAGTGAAAAAATTAACATATGCTTAGAATGCTTAGATAATATAAATTGACAAGCATAATGGCAAAATTAACCAACATCAACTAAAACCTCATGTTTAATACAAGACATACACTGTAAAAAAAAAATGAAGATGTAATTATTGGAAAGATTCTTACCCTGAAGAAAAAAAACCTCTCCAGTCGTGTCCTATCAAATCAAGGCTACTATATTTGTTTCCAACTATATTTTAACTAATCCAAGTAATTGTGTTTTACCACAATAAAACAAACAGCTTTAAATTCAAGACACCCGTAATACATTATTACATATTATACATTGTGAATGTAATGTGTTGCTATAACCCACACTGTAAAATGTATTACTACATCTTAAATGAAACATGTTTAAATATAAAAATTATTAACTGTTCATAACTGCATTTTTATAGTGGTAAAGAGATGAAAATCACTGCACTTCTGAGATATAAAAATAGAATTCTATAAAATTAATTAAATATGTTTATAAACTATCAAATATATTTATAAAAAATACATTTAAAGTCCCATGATCTGAATTATAGAAAACAACTTAAGAGTTTAGAGTTTACAAAAAAGTAGATCAACCAGAACAATAATTGTAAAAGGAGAAAACTTCAATATATCCTAAAATACTTTATGGCTAAACAAGCTTGAACGTAAACTGCTAATAAGATCTGCCCTAAACTAAACATATAACTGAAAAATCCTGGATCTTGTTCAATCTAAAGAGCCTGCGAAACAGATTTTTTTCTAAATTATGACTTCAGTCTTAATACTTGTTTGATTATTATCTTTTGCTTGCCATGTGCCATTTTATTTGAACTGGACAAATGCCAACCAATATTCATCTCCTTGTTATTTTGTCTTCTGTTTCATGCATTTTTATTCTTCCAAAGCTTTTAATTCATAACTGTCTCAAATTAAAGAACAGCAACAATGGCTATAGAAGGAGATGGATACTACAAAAAGTTTCTTGCTCTCAAATTCATCTTTCAAACTAATTTCATTTCAAGAATATTTGGAGATAGGCAGAAAGGCAGAACAATATGATTTTGTATTCAATTTTAATTAAAAATTACAACTGCAATCTTTTTTTATGTCATATTACAATATGGGCTAATTTCCCAAAGTAGAGAGCAGTTTGAGGTATACCTTCCACAAATGTGTTTACAAATAACAGGTAGCATATAATACATGAAATAAAAATGAAAAAAAATTTCAGTTCTATCTTATGAAATATTATCAGTCATTGCTGAAATTCTAGTACAAAGAATTTAGTTTTTTAGCCCTATCATCCATTCACAAATAAAAAAAACTGCTTCCATAAACATAAGCATAAACATAAGCATAAACAGGGATAGAATCAAGATCACGTGAAGTGTTAATTCTACTTTATAATGCCTTGGTAAGGCCACACTTGGAATACTGCATTCAGTTTTGGTCGCCACAATGTAAAAAAAGATGTTGAGACTCTAAAAAGAGTGCAGAGAAGAGCAACAAAGATGATTAGGGGACAGGAGGCTAAAACACATGAAGAACGGTTGCAGGAACTGGGTATATCTAGTTTAATGAAAAGAAGGACTAGGGGAGACATGATAGCAGTGTTCCAATATCTCAGGGTTGCCACAAGAAGAGGGAGTCAAATTATTCTCCAAAGCACCTGAGGGTAGGACAAGAAGCAATGGGTGGAAACTAATCAAGGAGAGAAGCAACTTAGAGCTAAGGAGAAATTTCCTGACAGTTAGAACTATTAATCAATGGAACAACTTGCCTGCAGAAGTTGTGAATGCTCCAACACTGGAAATTTTTAAGAAGATGTTGGATAATCATTTGTCTGAAGTAGTGTAGGATTTCCTGCCTAAGCAGGGGATTGGACTAGAAGACCTCCAAGGTCCCTTCCAATTCTATTCTGAAATAAATTTTGCCCCCATCCTATTTTCTATCAGATACAACAGTTACCACATTTTCATGTGGGTGTATGTGTGAAGACTTTTTTAAAGTAACAACTGCAATAATTTGGAATAATCTCCCTTTCAATATCAGGATGACCTTAAACGTAATAAACTTCAAGAAAGTATTAAATGCTGAATTGTTTTAGACAGACTTGGATAGTTGATGTCATCTGGCTGGTGTTGGCTGATTTCTAATTAAGTGATTTTCTTTTATGCAATTATGTGTGCTGTACTAAGGATGTTGATTATAATTGAATTGCATTTTGATGTTATGGAGTTAGCGTTATTTATTCTTACCATGGACATTTCAATTTTGTCATGTAATTGTGGCTGATTTAGACATCATGCATGTTTTATTATATAAAGAGAGATATCCCCGTGTTATATTGAATATGATTTAATACAGTTGTAAGCTGTCATGAGTCCATAGAAATAAATATAATTTGATGAGGAATTTACAATTGTTTATTTTTAAAGTAAAATATAACTTTGTGCATAATTTTTTTAAAAAATAAAAGTCATTAATAAACTCATATCACGATTTTTTAACATTCTAGCTTTTTTAGAGCACCAAAAAGTGGAAACAATAACATTTTCAATAACATATAACAATATGTTATAACAATAACATTTCGACATGATAATTTTAAATTGGGGTATTTTAAATTTTTGGGGTTTTAAATCGGCCAAATCTATTTAATTATTTTAATTTTTAATTATTGTTGTGTCTTGTGTTTTTAAATTGGCTGTACACCGCCCTGAGTCCTTCGGGAGAAGGGCGGTATAGAAATAAAATTATTATTATTATTATTATTTGACAGAATTAGGTGTTTAACTTGTCTTACCTGTGTTTATATGAGTAAACATTACAATGAAGCTTGTACAGTCCAGTGCCATATGTTTGGCTCAAGGATAAATACTTTAGACAACAAAATTTCAAGGCCCTTTTTGTCCTAAGAAGCAATAACTTCATTTTAGAAAATTTTGGCAGGTTTTCCAGAATCCCATGGGAAGGTATTGCAAGAAATCAGTGATACATTATAAAGATACTTTAATGTGCTATAAAGTTATTTAAAGTCCTTATTCCCCCTAATTAGATCTTTTTGAAAAGGAAACGAAGGCTTTCTTCATATAATACATAAAAGAATTTGATATGTCTCATCTAATGAGCTCTCATGTTTAGGTGGAAATGATATGAACTAAATCCTTTCATTTGAAAATTATTAAAACCATCTCTACTTAACTTTACATGTTGACAAGGTATCACTTTTTTCTAATTTGTCTTAATCACAAAAAGTGTAGCTATTTACACATTTTATCAAGAGATATCCAGAGAATTTCTATACATGTTATTGATGTATTTTTATCCCATCTTTCTTCTAAAGTTCAATTAAATAAAGGTAAATTTATAAAACTGTATATCTTATGCACTATAACTTTTATTTAACATTCAAAATATCTGCTTTGATTTTTAACAAGTCCATGTCTCCAACATAAAATTTTAAAATGAAAATTGCTCTAATGCAAGCTCTCTTTTAAAATATAATTGCCACCATTTTCACACATTTTTGTTGTGAACTGACTTAGAACCAACATCTGGTTCAGTACAGGCCTTCTGGCCTGACCTTCTGACCTTGACAGAATTTTTTTTTTAAAAAAAACAAGGTTGACTCAGCCTTCCATCCTTTCTAAGGTAGGTTAAATGAGGACCCAGTTTGTGGGGGCAATAAGCTGACTTTGTATAAATATACAAAAGTATGAAGGCTATTGCTTAATGCATTGTAAGCTGCCCTGAGTCTCCGGAGAAGGGCGGCATATAAATCAAATTAAAAAAAAAAAACCTAACCAAAAAGAGATTAATTATCTTTTTAAATCCAGAGCAATGAAATAACATTGGGAAACATCTCAGGCAGACATCTCTCCAATCACTGGAGTAGAAGAACGGAGAAAAGATACCACATATTGATATTTGAAAGACTGTTATAACCAATCTCAATAAAAGTAGTTCTAGCCTTCCTGTGCTGTTGATTTCCTGCCTGATCTACTTAGATGTAAGGGGTACTTCTGCCTATGAAAGAACCTCTTTCCATTAGAAGCCTACATACTTCCTGAATATTGGACCCAGAGATTTAGGGAGATAGTTTCTGAACATATGGAAAATGATTCAGGGGTTTTGGTGAAAAATCACATTTTTGTGGGGTTCTTGGTGCTCTGTGAGCTTGGTTGTTTTCTGCAGACATTTTATTA